GAAAAGGCCAAAGGGGTATACAATAAATTAAAAATAGAGAAAAAGAAACGATTGAAATTTAAATTATTTAAATGCCTAACCGTTAAAGACGCCTACGTTTTCAAATTATATAGTTTACTTTCGGCTGCCATTTGCAACACTTCATTGTCCCAGGCTAGCGACCAAAGTCGGGCTTAAATTTCCTAACCAGTAATAGCAACAATTGCCAGTAGATCGTGATAAACGAGCGACTTACAGCCAACTAGAGTACAATACCCGGCCAGATACCAATTGATTTCCACTCACTCAATTGTTCTCTTTTTTGTGAAAACCTGGCTTGGGCCCGAATCTGGGCGTAGCAAACACGTTTTGGTTAGTTCAGACAATGGTCAACTATTTGGTGAAGTCTGTGCACTAGATATTATTGGAGTTGGCCTGGGAAATATTGAGAATAAAGGTATGTCTCCATACCATAAATTGTAAAAGCTTTCCCAGGTGTTACATTGTACTTGTGCATATTTTGGCCAAAATCTGTTTATCGCCCACAAAGGAGACTTGACTAAGCCAGCTTAGGGACCTGTAATGACCCTTCAAATGACCATTTGGGTGACCAAGGTCTGCTGCTCATTAGCATTTGAGAATTGGGCACAGAACAATAATATTATGAGGCATATAAAAGTTAATGCAAAAGCAAAATCTGAGCTAAAAATAAAAGCCAATGCTCGTAAATTGGCACACACGCTTCAACAGACCGCAAAAAAACCCAACAGATTCGGACCAAAGCTAAAACACCAACTAAGCCACATATATAGCCTTTGGTCGAAACACCTACAATCGGCTCGGGCCGTCTAATTACGTCAGTCCCGTATATAGTATGTAGTATTAGAGCTCTGGAAAAGTATAGGATGGGCCTGGTCTGGTCTGGTCTGGTGGGGTCTGAGCTGAATGGTCACTCGAAACGACATTTTGAGCCACGAAATTAATTAGATACGAAGGAACAACAATTTTGCATATTGCCAAAAATGAAAACACGCAAATAAAAGTGAATTTGTCTAAAAGAGGTGGCTTTTGGCAGACGCTTCGCGTCACTTGATATACATAAAGATACAAAAGGTAGCGTCAAGGTGACAGAAATCCAGAGATTTATGCCGTAGCAGCACGGCAGAACTAGTTGGGCAATCACCATGACTGAAAAATTAAACAAACAAACAGAAAACCAAAATGCAAATGACAATTGGCAGTGTCCGAGCCAACCTGCCCTGGGCTTGACCTCTCAACTGACCCAATTTAATTACTCCAAAGCCATTTTCATTTAATGACTAATGGAAAATGGAACATGGGAATTCTGTTTTGGCTTTTAATTGGACTTGGCTGTAATGAAGTTAATGGTTTTCGAGGTGGCATATGAATTCGATTTCAAATTGTAAATGGTTTTGGCTTAACCCTTTATAAGGCAATAACTCCGATTTTCTTCATTTTTTTTTGTTCGGTAGATAAGTGAAAATAAAAAATACACTTCTTTTTATTTTTTTTTTAAGGTGGGTTTTTCTTAATTTTTTTTTAAATAAGCGAAAAAAAGCGATTTTTTTAAACTAAGTGAAATTGTTGATTTATTTGTATTATAATGCAAAAAACACAAAAACTCAAAAATATGCAACATAATATAATATTTACCTATTTTTAACCATTAATTGAATCAATAATTCAATTTTTTTTTATTTTTTATATTTTGGATGAGAAACTGCACAACCAATTCAGATTACCACATTCACCAAATTGGCGAGAAAAGTAATCACCTGTTGAGTATTGGACAGAATTCTGACTGACCAACACTTGTTATATAAAAAACGAAAGTTGCTGAACTGCATCAAAAAGATTTTAGACAGTTTTTTAACGCAGGTTGAAAAATAATTGAATTTAAACGGTATGTTGCAGATATGCAACAAGGCCATATAAAGGGTTAAATATGTAAAAGCAAAAGTTTATCTGACAGCCCGGGAATAAAAGAGGTAATTATGGTTGGTTTCTACGTTTTTTTACCATTTTTATTTAAAATTTGATGAAGTTCGGTAACAGCATGGAAACAAAATTATGGCCCTAAGCAAAGTCACTATCTTTGCCAATATTCTTTGGTGGAATATCTAATCGATTTATAGATCAATCCTAATACACTATGGCCCCTGGGAAGACTATAACTTCGCCAATATTCATCCGATTCATAAGTGGAATACCTCAATCGATTTGTAGATCGATTCTCCATAAATCTGCATCAAAATCTGGAAACAAAATATTTTTCAGATTTTTTGTCAAATTTTCTGGAGGGTCCCCTTCAAAAGTTGGAAAAATGCATGGAAGGCCACTATGGGCCCCTGGGGAGACTATAACTTCGCCAATATTCATCCGATTCATAAGTGGAATACATCAATCGATTTGTAGATCGATTCTCCATAAATCTGCATCAAAATCTGGAAACAAAATATTTTTCAGATTTTTTGTCAAATTTTCTGGAGGGTCCCCTTTAAAAATTAGAAAAATGCATGGAAGGCCACTATGGGCCCCTGGGAAGACTATAACTTCACCAATATTCATCCGATTCTTTAGTGGAATACCTCAATCGATTTGTAGATCGATTTTCCATCAATCTGCATCAAAATCTAGCAACAAAATATTTTTCAGATTTTTTGTCCAATTTTCTGGAGGGTCCCCTTCAAAAATTGGGAAAATGTATGGAAGGCCACTTTGGCTCACTGGGAATACTATAACTTCGCCAATATTTATCCGATTCATAAGTGGAATACCTCAATCGATTTGTAGATCGATTCTCCATAAATCTGCATCAAAATCTAGCAACAAAATATTTTTCAGATTTTTTGTCAAATTTTCTGGAGGGTCCCCTTTAAAAATTGGAAAAATGCATGGAAGGCCACTATGGGCCCCTGAGAAGACTATAACTTCGCCAATATTCATCCGATTCATAAGTGGAATACCTCAATCGATTTGTAGATCGATTCTCCATAAATCTGCATCAAAATCTAGCAACAAAATATTTTTCAGATTTTTTGTCAAATTTTCTGGAGGGTCCCCTTCAAAAATTGGGAAAATGCATGGGAGGCCACTATGGCCCACTGGGAAGACTATAAAATTGGCTAAAAATATTACATCGTATCCCCTATGACATCATCTGATACTACCCCCAGGATATTACGCGGAACCTGGCAATTGGCCTTCGCACTTTCATTTCCAAATGAAGATGAAGTCATTCATTCAGTATTTTAAAAAAAGAAACAAAACAGAAATACTTGCACACCTTCAGCCGAGTTTGAGTGACTAAGCCAACTACGTAAACATGTCCCAAAACCCACTGGGCTTGAGCGGCGACGAAAATATTCAAGTTCAACGCATCGCCATGTCCTCTGTTTGGGTTACTGACACCGTCAGGTGGTGTTCCCAAACCATCCAGCATTTCCTGGTAATTCCGCTCGGCTTGGTTCCGTGCATTGAAATGCCATTAATCGGTCGGCGGGGGCGTAATTGATAAGAATACAATGTTGTACCGGCCTGGGGTTGGGTTTGGTCAACAAAAGTACATTAGCCTAACTATCGCCATGGTGGAGGAAGGAAATTGGAAGGGAAACCGGGATGGGAATATCGGCGTGCTAGTAATATGCTAATGAACGGCCACGAACTTGAGCCACGGCTTGAACTTCCCCAGTAGAGTTTGGCTGGAGCGTTTGGGTTGTTTGCCTATCGGAAACAATTTCTATTGTCATTTTCCTACATTCAGGTGTGTGCTTGTGTGTATGAACAGGTGACAGGCGAACGAACTACACCCCACCCACCTCAGCCCACTGGTTCGAGCGGTTCAAGGTCGAGGCGCAGACATAAACTTTGGTTTTGGGTTTTTCAAAAGTAATGCATAGACTTTGCTTTTTCTCTCTCCAGTCTTATCAGGTAAGTGCTTGATAATACTAATTTTAAATAGAGAAAGAAACGGTGGAGTATTTCATAATTTTTGTAAACTATAGTGCTTAAAAGGGAACTATAAAAAATCAATAACCTTATGTGTTATACTAGATATAGTTCCCTGGTTTACTGCGCACCAAAAAATGACATGTCTCGACCATTTGTCTGTTTTTTATTTTGTTTGTCTAAATAGTTAATGCCCCCCTTTTTGGTGGCAATTGCAGTGGACAGTTGTGGAAAAATAGAGTTTTCAAAGCTGCATCACCAGGTGTGGTATTTGTCGAAAAAAAATCAATATCCTGTATATATTATTTAATAGTTCCTCTGGGAATGAAAGCAAAGCCTCTCCTATAGGAGGTCATATGTACTATAAGTAGGGACACATGTCGGCATTAATCAATGAAAACTATCGGGTGAGTCAGTGGAATTTTTAAAAAGGTGGAATTTTTTACTGATATTTCGATAAAAGAAACGATTTTTACTGTTTATATCAGATATTGGATATATACTATGAATGTTCCATATCTTTCAAAAACAGGCGGCCTTATCATTATTATTTTGTTAAAGTACCCCAACACTTTTTCTTTAATTTAAAAATCTCAAGGGTTTTACCTTATCGGTTCAGTGATTTCTATAAAAAGACCTACATATATTATAGGTATAATCCTGATAAATGGCGAAATTATGAAATGATTAATCAGAATTTTGTATCTTTCGAGAAAGCTTATATATTTGTTGTAGAAGATTATATAGTTTATCAATTTCCTTTCTTTCTTTCAATAAATAATTGGAAAGCTTTTGTATTTATAAAAATTAAAAACAAGGTATTTTAATGGAAATGTTTTAAAGAGAATCTTAAACATTTAAACGTGATTTTCAAAGTTTTAAACTATTTTGAGAGGCGCTGAGGTGTAACGTACGGCTTGAATGACTAGGAAATTAATGAAAAAAGTAATTATAGATATATTACTTCAACCCACTATGTATAATTGAAACATAATACCATTGCCACAAGTCCCTATATTTATTTATTCAATTCGTATAATTCCGTGACTCACCTCAATTTTGGATGAATAGTCCTCGATTAGCTTCTCCTGCTGCTTGACCAGCTCCTCGTTCTTCTCCAGCAGGGCCTTGCCCAGTTCGGCGGCCAGCAGGATGTCCGACTCCTTTTGCTGCAACTGGGCCCAGACATCCGGTTCCTGGTCCTGGTGCCGTCGGGCCTCCATGGCGCTGATGTAGTGCTCTAAATCAATCGAATCCCCAATTAGTGACGAGTGGTCGAGGTCGAGATGGTCGAAGCCGGAGTCGTCCGGCCGGAGAACGCCTCCTCCGGGCTTATCGAACTGACGTGCCCGCTTCGACTTTCCGCCAATGCTGATGCCGATGCCGCTGCTGCTGCTGCTGCTGCTGCTGCTGCTACTACTGAGGCTGCTGAGGCGGCTGTTGTTGTTGCTTTTGTTGGTGGATATGGATGAGGCAATGGCAGCAGCGGTTATAGCATTCGCTAGCTTTGGTTTATGCATGATCGTTAGCTTCAGGCGGGGTGTGTTGTGGTGTGGTGTTTGTGGTGTATTACGGGCAAAGACAACGAACCAAATTTACAGACATAACACACACACACACACTCACTACTTGGTCAGTAATTTAAAGTTAGATGCAATTTTAATTGAATCGCTTTTTAAGGCTGAGACAGGCAGGTTAGGTATTCAGATGATCGGTTTTTATTTGGAGGATTAGCTGATGTTGTATTTGCAGTTGGGGCGACGACAACACGATGATATATCCGAGCATAGTTCCATGGGCCGAACTGCCCCCGAAAGAGCAGGCGATATCGTGGGTTAAGACTGCATTTAATAGTGTAATAGTGGGTTAGATATATAGATAGTAAGTACACATCCCTAATGGCAATTGGCATTTAATGAGAGAGATATGCTATATACAGTATAAGACAGCACAGGGCTAATCTCAGGGCTCTAAGCGAATTGGCCAAAAGGAGCGTGGGTCACGTTGAGCATTTGCGAGCACGTTTTCAGTTACTTGTTTTTGGGTTTTTGGCCAGAAGGGGGTGTTTTCAGGAGGTGGGAGGGATGACATACAACTACAGTGTTAAGCAAGAGGGTTAATATAAAATGGAATTTGTCGTTAGCCCGTCTTTAGTTGGTCTTTAGTTAAGCTTCATGCGGTTTAAGTAGCCAATGGGTTTTGGTTTCCAAATGGGTGTTAATACTGATGGAGAATTTAAAACTATTTTTGGGGGACTACCACTTAGTGATTCAATGGATGTTGAAATAGAACCGAAATGATCGCAAGCCCCTCTAGGGTCTAAACCACACTTTTCGAGTTTATTTTTCAGTTAAAATTTGTAACCGATTTATATATGTATGTATATATTTTTTGGTAGTTTCGGCATTTGTTATATAGAAAATTCATTTGGCAAGCACTTCACGCTTTGCTGCCTTTTGGTAGCCAAAAGCCACTGCTGTTTGGGCCAACATAAATAATATGGTTTAAGCTACGCTTTTTTTTTTTTGGCCAACAATTATTTTATTTCTTTATTTTTTTTGGAGCAACACAGACACAGTTCACAAATGCACTGACACAACATTGTTATGTTTTTTGTTTTTGGTATTATTGTTTTGGATTTCCGCTACAGTTTTGGCCAGATTATTGACAAAACAACAAAAAATAAACGCGCGCTTTGCATGGATTTTGGTCTAATTAATTCCCCCAAACGGAAAGTATCCATCAGATACTTTCCACTTTCGCAAAACGCGGCTAGAGTTTGGCTTTATTTTTCTGTTCAAAATATATATAGATATATACTAGTGTTATATCCGTAAATGAAAGAGGGCAGAAACCTCGGTCACGACGACGCTGCTCCACTCCAAAGCACTCCACTTCCGATTCTCGGATTCTCCGAATCTCTGATTCTCTGGTGCCGTGTAAACCGCGTTCGCCTCGCTTCGTTTAAGTTCGGCTCGAATCTCGATTCTCTAGCTACGATTTTTTGTGGCTTTCCCCAGCTTTTTGTTTGTGTAACGGGGGGGCGGCGCGGAGGCGTGGCATATACGTCTGAATGGCGCGAACGTTCGTTACTAACTGAAGTGAACAGCGCCGTGCTACGAAAATTGGCAAAACAAATGAGTAACCAAGCGACGATGTCGGCCCGAAGTGGAAGCTCCCCCGGCTTGGCCAAGACTCGTCGTATCTTGGCAACAACAACGAAACACGGTAGCAACTGTGACTCTCTTAGTTACGGCTCCAAAGAGAGTAGCGACAGGGTTGTCGAGTCGTTGGCTCTGAACTTACCTGATTAGATTACGGTAATGTGTGGAGTAATATTGGTTACAAGGTAATCGAGATAAGGTCTAAATGAAAAAAGTGCAATATGGTTTGGCAGATAACCGTTTATTGATTAGTTATTTATCAAAAAATATATAAAAAAGCTAAAAATTTATTTATAAAACCCCTCCGAGCCTGACAACCCTCTGCGAACTCCCAACTCCATGGGTGAGAGGCGCCCCTTTGTGGCGCTCGCTCTTTGAATTTAATTTCCTTTTAGCCGCCATATGTTTGATGCGGCCTCGCACCAGCTTTCTCTTAGCCAACATATGCTTGGTGTGTTTACTCTTAGCCATTTGTTTTGCATTGAGACTGACTTACGAAAGCGGCCAAGTGAACAACAATGAAGCGGGGTGACGCTTCGCATAGGGCAGCCAGCCGACGATGTGGGCGGCGGGTGAGGGGGCACCCGGAGACCTGGACCTCCAAAAACCTCCATAAACACACTAACGTCTATGCACGAACATATTTCAATGCAAAATTTACATACGACAGAGAACACACACAACAACTGAAACAATGGGCACACACAAGAACAACCATAGCAAAGGGATTCTACACTTTAAAAATTTTTTAAAAAAACATATAAATAGTATATTATTCTGCAATATTATTAAAAGATAGGGGATGGTTCCCTTGGGTACCAACTAGTTTATTCTTGGGTAGTGATTAAACCAATTTATAATACACTTCTAATTATAATAATACATAGAGGCAAGATCACTTTTTTCCGTTCATCATGCGAACAAGCTGGCTAAGACAAACATGGTCAGAATGTCTAGTGCGTGGTACTAAGCCACAACAGCGTCTTGGCAACCACCTCCCCAGTCTGCCCCTTCTGGCGGACCCGGGAAATCACAAAACATGCACAATAGACGCCTCAAGTGGCCGGGCCAAGTGAAGATGGAGATGAAGATGAGCTGCAGACCGACACCAGACCATTGTTCTAGGTGGGCATCTCCGAATCCGCCTCCACCTCCGCCTCTGTATCTGCCACTGATTCCGCCTCCCAGCGATCCATAATGCCGATGTTGCGTGGCCAATTGTTTATGTCCGACACTGACTAGGTGGCTACTGTGTGGCTGGCCATTTACCAAATTGTGCTTTCGGATGGTGGTCTAACCAGGCGTAACTAACTTTTTGTGTTTTACCTGATTTTCCCAACCACTATGAAAACTTCCGTACACTTCCGCCGAAGATCGATCTTTGTTTTTTTTTCGTATCCACTGCCTAATGAGGAAGGGTCTTCCTACCACATTTGTGGGGCATCTGCATGGAATTCCTTGTTGGCCGCTTCATCTCCGGTTTCCACTTGCAATCGAGTGTTCTTGAGCTGCTTTATTGTCTTACACTCTCGCTCTTGTTGGGGTCCGAGCTTCATCCATCCATCCATCCGTCGGTCCGAGTCATCCATCTTGGAGCCATACACTGTACACCCCACCTAAACTGGTTTCGGTCTGCTATTGCTCTGCATTGTATCGCTGTTTTTTCTTTAATTATTTTTTGTTTTTTTTTATTCTTCTCTACTTCTATAAGGGGTTGGTTAACTTATCTGGCTGGCTGGGTCAGTTTTTGGTTTAAAAAGGTTCCCCAAACGTGGTTACACTTCAAAGACTCCAAAAAAAAAACTAAAGTAGTTGCATTAAAGTTCTTCAAATATTCTTTATTTAAAACACAATTTTCATAAAATTTTTTTAGAAAGATCTTAATTTCTTAGAGTACCCCATCTTCGTCTTAAAAGAACCATGCCTCTCACACACATATAAACCTTTTTTCTTAATATCTACCATAATTATGTTGTTTATGGCACTCGGGTATGAGTCAACAGCAACAAGTTGGGGCATTACCGGTCGCTTTCTGGCCAAAAGTGTTGGCCGCTTCCATTGTCTCCTCAGCAGGCAAAGAACTGGAAGTGCAACTGGAGAACTATGGTTATGAGATATGTGTGTCAGTGGCAGTGACTTGGTGGCTCTGAAGTGAAGGATCTGTCACTTTGGCGGTCGTTGCAAGCAGAGCGCATAAGACAGGTCACTTTTGGCCGAATTGAAGCCTGCCCAGCAGGCCGGCCGTAAACCACTCTCCCTCAAAGTGTTTGAGCCGAAAAAGTAAACAGTAAACCGTATTACAAAACTCAGTGCCAGGCCATAAACAAAACAACCGTAGAAAGGTCAGCCACTGGCCCAAAGCTGGGCGTGAGAATGCCGTTTGGCTCGGAGGGGTTTCGGCCCGGCCCGAACCGATCCGGTCTGGGTTCCGGAACCAAGGCGACATACATCCAAAGCCGCTCCATAAATGTACAGCAAACAGATCGCAGGCCCAGAACTGTTAACATTTATAGGTAATTCTAGAAATGCGTTTGGGGTCTTCAGGCAAGACTTTTGTGTACAAAAAAATAATTTATTAGAAAAAAAAGTTCGAAAACATTTATCTTTTAAATTAAAAACAAAATTGCTAGAAACGTTTACAACCCAAGAATCACAATTCTTGATATAACGAAAATATATATATTTATATAAAACAGTGGTCGGCACTCAATACAAAGATATGATTTTAACGCATGAGTATTAGTAACAAGTAGCAGGAAGTAGGCTGTGAGTATGACATTTCACACATTTATACTGTGTGTGTGTGTGGCAGAGCTCGGGCAGAGATATGTATTTCATATGCCCGCGGGATAGGGTCCGTGCCGACCACTGATATAAAAAAATGAGTCCCATTTGCAAGAACTGACTTAAGATTTTTTTAGTTTAAATAATTTTAATTTAACAAGCATTTATACAAAAAATTTTTAAGAAATATATAATTTTATAATAATATGGAGATAAATGAGTATGCATTACGAACAAAAGGAATAAACCATGCATTAACCAAAAAAACAGACCCAAAAGTCAAAAATATTGAAATATAAGTTGTTAACAGCTGACAGTCAGTTGTCGAAATTGAAATATAAAGCTTTAAATATTTAGCATTTCATAATCAGGAGAATAATGTGTATGCAGTACGAACGAAAGGAACAACCATTTCTTAATGAAAAAAAAAGAAAATCAGACCCACAACACATAATTTTTTTACGGTCTAGTTACCCAAATCAACTATTAGAAGTTTAAATAATAAGACTTGATTCTCAATAAAATAGAATTAAAATAGCTATGGAGGCACTTAAGACCCAAGTCTCAAAAAATCCACATAACATAAAATCATGAGAAATAATATCAGAAAATCAGGAAAAAAATAAGTAGAACTCAAAGATAAAAATCAGACCCAAAACTCAAAATAAATATTGATATATTGAAATATAAGTTATTTATATATAATATTTAGCATTTCAAAATGAGGAGAATCATCAGGAGAATCAGAAGAACGGAAGGAAGAAACCATGTCTTAATCAAAAAAAAAAGAAAATCAGACCCACAACACAAAATTTTTTTTCTGTATAGTTACCCAAATCAACTATTAGAAGTTTAAATAATAAGACTTCTTCAAAAAATAGCATTTTATAAAGGCTTTAGCTTTGGAGGAACTTAAGACCCAAGTCTCAAAAAATCCACATAACATAATATCATTAGAAATAAAATCAGAAAATTAGGAAAAAAAATAAGTTTAAAGAACTCAAAGATAAAAATCAGACCCAAAACTCAAAATAAATATTGATATATTGAAATATAAGTTATTTATGTATATATAATATTTAGCATTTCAAAATGAGGAGAATCATCAGGAGAATCAGAAGAACGGAAGGAAGAAACCATGTCTTAATCAAAAAAAAAAAGAAAATCAGACCCACAACACAATTTTTTTTACGGTATAGTTACCCAAACCAACTATTAGAAGTTTAAATAATAAGACGGGATTCTCAATAAAATATCATTTTATAAAGGCTTAAGCTTTGGAGGCATTATAACCCAAGACTCAAAAAATCCACAAAAATCATTAGAAATAATATCAGAAAATCAGGAAAAAAAATAAGTTCAAAGAACTTAAAAATAAAAATCAGACCCAAAACTCAAAATAAATATTGATATATTGAAATATAAGTTATTTATATATAATATTTAGCATTTCAAAATGAGGAGAATCATCAGGAGAATCAGAAGAACGGAAGGAAGAAACCATGTCTTAATCAAAAAAAAAAAAGAAAATCAGACCCACAACACAATTTTTTTACGGTATAGTTACCCATCCAACTATTAGAAGTTTAAATAATAAGACGGGATTCTCAATAAAATATCATTTTATAAAGGCTTAAGCTTTGGAGGCATTATAACCCAAGACTCAAAAAATCCACAAAAATCATTAGAAATAATATCAGAAAATCAGGAAAAAAAATAAGTTCAAAGAACTTAAAAATAAAAATCAGACCCAAAACTCAAAATAAATATTGATATATTGAAATATAAGTTATTTATATATAATATTTAGCATTTCAAAATCAGGAGAATCATCAGGAGAACAGAAGGAAGAAACCATGTCTTAATAAAAAAAAAAAAGAAAATCAGACCCACAACACATAATTTTTGGGTTGTATAGTTACCCAAATCAACTATTATTAGA